AAACATTTTCTGCCCGACCAGGTGTATCCACCAGTATTGGAAAATTGTTACAAAGGCCTGCGTCAACCATATTGGAAAATTGTGTAGTTCGAGGCGATGTGTCCCAACCTAACTTAAAATTCAGTTAACCGAAAGGTAGAGGTAAAAAAATTCAAACAACAGCGTCGCGCATTGCACGACCAATTTGGAAACAATGCAACTTGTCTAAATCGAGTGAAATCATCCGAAAAGACCATACCGCCCTGAACAATTTCCGTTTTCTTTGTATTGGGATAAAAACAAAGGAAAAAAAAAAAAAAATTTTTTAAGCTGTTCTCATAAAACTTTCAATGCCGTTACAATTCCCTTGCCGGGCGTTTCTGCTAACCTAACCTCCTATGGGAAATGCGGTATTGGAATCGATGCATTTCCATCGCTGCTACTATACATAATTTATAATACAGGACGCACAGGCCACTCTGCACTTCGCTATGTGAATTTCCGCTTGAGAGTCACGCTGGGATTTATCGAGACTGTCGATCACGAGAGTTTCGACCACCTGAACCTCCAGGCAGTTTACGAGGGTGACCGGAGGACCGCTCTTACGTGGAAAGTCTCGAGATACAAGCGACAACGGTAAATCGAAAATTGGAGTGTTATTTCTTTCGAGAAAGTTACTAGCTAGCGGAAAATAGAATTTCATTGCTTTACGAACTTCCCGAGCTGTATTATTTTCCACTCGGTACACGATACCGACAGCGTATTCACGAGGAAAATAAAATTGAGAGCTATACATAATACTATAATCATATGGACTTACCCATACGTTCAGAATCCTTATCCTAGAATGACGTGACTCACCTGAAACAAACAAAAAAAATTTCTTTTATCGTACCGAACAATAAAATGAACAGAAAAATACGAAAAAAAAAAAAAAAAGAAAAAAAACCCGTACTTAAAAAGATAATAACAATGTGTCGACGTTTATCATGAATAAGAAAAAAATAACATAACGCGAATGGCAAGAGTGATAAAAAAAATTATTCACGACATTCAGGGCGTTTCCATAAAACAGCAAGGGGCGCTGGCAGATCTCAGCCCCACGTGCGCTTAGAAAGAACAGGGACCGGAGGGCATTTTAAATTAACTTTCTTTTCTTCCCGAGCAACAAGAATCCGGTCCAGGAAAGTTTATGAAATATTTCGGGCGCGCAAGAAGAGACGGGAGTCTCCAGGGACGAAGGTTCTCTTTGACGTCTACCCAGGCCCCAGCGCCTCAACACGGTACCCCCCCTATCCGTAACTATCATATAATACCCACAAGGCCGTAGCCACGTCATGCATACCCCGTAGTAGCGATCAAGCGACACTCTCAAATATTAAATAAAATAAGTGCAAAGGGCACCTAAGGGAGACTGGATATATCCTCTTCGCGGCTCTTCGCATCCCTTCGCTGAACATCGTATCCACCCTTCTTCTTCCTCTCGTCGCCTCGATCGGCTCCTTCTCCTCCGACTACGCTAATGGGAAATGGGAAAATAACATCGAGCGAGCAAAGAAGCAAGCAGCAGCCGAACGTGCCAGAGCAGCGAGGACAACGACGACAGCGAAGGTTTCTCCCTAGCGAAAGATACGCCAAGGGTAGCATTTTAATGAATTGGAAACTGCTTCGTAAACAAACTTCGGATCCACTCCCGATTCACGGTAAACATAAATGAACCGATGGAACCGGTTAAAAAAAAAAAAGAAAAAAGGAAAAAAGAGAGAAAAACAGAAGGGGAAAAAAAACAACAATCGTTCTAGCATTAATGAACCGTGAATATTCGTTCGGGTCATTAACCAAGGCCAGTAGCCGATACCTTCGATAAGGTTAGATTCTCTCTAATGATCTCTCAGATGCTAGACTCTCCTTTGTAAGGACTTGAAATATCCTCTGTTAACCAAGTGGATATACGTCTGCAAGTCTAGTGTGTACTCGACGGCCACTACCATGGGGAACTAATGAATGTTAAAGCGAATCCACAGCGACCTTGTGCGTGACGGTGTAATATAAATTCACTGTACGCCAGAGTACGTTTGAGATACAAGTACCCGGAACAAGAGGGTAGATACTAGAAGGCTAGTCTGCAATAAGCGAAAGTGGACGACGACGATAAAGAATGACGAAGAGTGTACCGGGTGTGCGCGCGGGATAGCTATTAAAAAAAAAAAATTCGTAACACGAAGCGTCTCCATCGAGCTACAAACTTTAAGGTACACTTAGCCCCCGTTATCAATATTGATTTCTTTGAGGCTCGAAAGCCGAATCGGCTAACCGCGCATCGTATTTCTGGATGATCATTGCGTAACCGTGTTCTCTCGACTATTTTTCCATTTTTCGTTTCCTTGCTATCGTACTAAAGCTATTTGACGTAGGGTGAATAATTTTGGTCTACCGCGAAGCTGCCGCGCGTGTTTGCATTTATACAAAAGCCGCTTGGGTTCTCTGACCTAAGTTAAAATTAGTCCTAGGTACATGTGTCTAGAAGTTAGACGCCACGACGATGAACCAGGAATGCCAATTTCTGTTAGGGTCTCCCCCGCTCCCTCCGGATTCCCCTAGATACGTACCGCATGTATATGCGTATATACATACAGGTACAGTCATCACTGAACTCGATCTAACCGTTTATCTATCTTTTAGCAATTTGCGTCGCTAGAATGAAAACAAGCCTTCAAGGCGTACGCCTCGGCATAGAAAATCACATTGAGGCAACAGATTGAATTTGAGGAAAACAGCCCTCGTCTCTTGTGTACCTATTCGCTCTCGGTCGCGCATCCCCCATCGAAATCTCTCAGCCGCTTGCTCGGCCGCTTGCTCTCGACAAACACTTGTTGAGATGCCGCCCGAGGAGGTATCAATAAGGCTCACCGAAGTCTGTTACGTTGAATTTTGTCATTACGTAATAGCTGGCAGATGCGAGCCACAGAAAAATGTTGGCAGTTAAGGACGAAGGATAATTCACAGTCCCGGGGGGAGAATCGAGCTAATGTCGATAATTGCTCAGATACCATCGAGAGGTAAGAAGGTAAGGATGACGTTAAACTATAAATAAGACTTCTCCTTCGTGTTTTTTGACTTTCCTTCCTCCAGAGGATTATCGATCACAGCCTGCGTCTACCGGCGTCGGTATTTACGACAGGAAGAAACTGTCGTCGCTTCGGTAACGATAGGCTCCTTCGATCCAATTCCACGTTGAACAATCATAAGATATATTTCACTGTTGAGCTATAATTCGTGCGACCCGGATAAAAAGGTTGTAGACAGGTGAGAGGAAAAAGTAAAAGACCTAAATTCGACGACGTGGATGACGCTTTTGGTATGAAAAAAAATTAATGGGATACGTGAACAAATTAATGGGATCGATGATATCAAATTGACAAAAGTTCTACTGCCGATTGCAGTCGTTACTTGGACGATGAGAAGCTCCAAAAAGTGCACTGTGATCTACTCGAGGGATCTTATATAGTTGTTAACGAGTGGGTCAACATTTTCAGATACAAAGTTTGTCATTTACAGTAGGAAAACCTCGGAGGATGTGAAGTGTCTGACGATGCAGAAAAGATCCTCGACAGGAACTTTGAGAATTTCGCTCAACTTTGAAACTTTAATACTCTCTGCCGCTCCTTCTCGATACCGCATGCAACAATATACTTTCACAGAGTCCGCCATCTTGGAAGATACTACTCAGAGCCAAGGCGATAGTCCTCCCGGATCTGCTTCGTACTGTGACTGGAAGGGTCTGTATAAATAATGGTTGAAAAAAAAAGAATGAACGAAGTTAAAGAGACAAAGATGTCACTTACGAGCAAAGAGGCACCTATCCGTGCATCCCCTTTAAATAGACGGCCTACTCCTCGAGATCTTCTCACCGAAAGCTTTTAGCCTAAGGGGTCTCTCATGACGCGTACCATCTCCACTACTCTTTCCAAGATGTACAATTTCAGCTCCCACCGATAGTTCCACTTCCTGATGCTTTCCAATACCAAAGTGAAGAACGAGAGCAGCGAAGTAACCCAGAAAAAAGTGTCAGATCGCTATGCGACTCACGACACATATTTTAAAGTAATGCAAAAAAAAAAGGATCGGATGCTACATCAAACGGTCGTGTATCAAAATTACGATAAGGATATCACCCTCCGAACCCTAACATGCTGCCAATATAACAGTCTCAATAATGTTTGACAAGTCTGGGAAATGAGTAGGTAAACCAATAAGCCTAGAGCTGCGATGTGATAAAATGAATTTTATCATGACTACCCAGTGCAACTACAAGTCAGTAATATGGATCATCCCACAAAGCAGTCCAATACAATTACCATAGTGGAAGCTACCGCTGCAAATACCACCACCCTTGACATGCATTTGTCCTCCTATCTCTCACCCCTGACCATCCCCCTCCAATGTATCTATACTGTGTTTCGTTACTCACGGTACCCTGTCTTCCTACCCTTCAAATCCCTTTATCACCAACGCACTCCCACTCTCGATTAGAGCTCCTATACCATGAGGGTATACGGTGTTATCGAAAACACACCCTGGGGTAGTAACTAACAATCCGAGACTAGCTGCTGAACGCTGATGGCTTTGGAGCTCTTTCCAAACTACATAAACATCCAGATGTAGATTTAAGCTGACAAAATCAGGATCAGTGGTAGACATGATAGAATTCCTGATAAGGTTTTCATCCGAAAAGGTAAACGTCAAATATCGGATATCACAGATGGAAATGTAAAGAATGAAAAATTCCGATGAATACAGACCATTATTGATTGTATATATATAGTATGTATATACTTTGGTAAAGTAGAAAAGTATATCCTGCATATCGATACGCGTTTGCCTATGAAAGATATTACTCCTTTTTTATATTTATTGTAGCATTACTTATCGTTGATGCACATAACGTGTCTTTGGAAGGTGCCTCGTATTTTTCAATGCTCGGAACAGATTTTATGGGTTACTCGAAACAGTAAACTTACCTCTCTGCACTTTCGACGCGGACGCTCCAGCTGACGATGCCTCAATTTCCGGTGGTTCACCACGATTCTTCACAAACTGCCAGTCTTCGCGTAACTTCTTTAACTTTTCCTAGAGAACAAGAAAAAGCATTGGACGTTATAATCATTGATTTCATATCAACTGTCGATAACTTCATAGGCAAATATAATCCTCACCTGGAGCTCAACGGATATTGGCTGCTTTGCTGATTCGCACTCTTTCTCTATGTTGGTATAATTTTCAAGAACATCCTTCACTTCCATCTCACGATCCATTACAGCGACCTGTAAATGTAAACGTCAGGGGCGTAAACAACCAAGTTAATACAGGGGTAGCTACTTCTGCCTCGAAAACTCGAGTATACTTACCATGATATTATCGATGACTTTAGTTCGTTCCTGCTGTGGTAATTCACGAGAAATATTAAGCCTCGTGCGAGTTTCCATGACCCACGTCATCACAGTGTCCAAACTGTGTACGTATTTCTTCAGGGACGCGAGCTTATTTTCGACGTACTCACGATGAGATGAAAGATTTGTGCCGGCCTGAAATGCGCATATAAAATTTTGAAAGGATAAATATGTAACGGTAACGCCCTTAGGCGTAAAACACGACGTATAAACAATACGTATAGAGGGTGAAAAAAAAAAGCCCAGTAAAACTTCCGGCTTGGAGTACCGGTATCGTTAAATTAAAATTTACATATAAAATATATCAAAAGAATAATAATACCTTCTCCATGTCGATGAAAATCTTATTGTAGTCTTCCTCGCTACGTGAAATATTATGTTGATTGCGTAGCGCCTCCATGCTTCTTCTACGCGAGATCAACTCTTCTTCTTTTGCCTGTATACCGATAAATTATGTGAAAAAAAAATGTTGTGGTACAATATTAACAATTACGTTTATTTTTGGTGTATACACCGTAGTTATTTATGGACCACTGAACTATAAAATCTCTGTGGGATAAGACCTATTTTCAGGGTAACCCCATGCTAATGAAATACGTCCACAGTCGTACCGAAATAGCTGGTGTACTTTACTGTTATTACTGGCTGCCATACAGCTATTAGTATGGGCCTTTTGTTTGATAAAGGTTATATTGTGTCCAGGAAAACATATTAGTAAAGTAGACCAAAATTGGAGTTCAATGCTATTTGAGTCTTGGCACGGATCAGCCACCAGAGTCAGGAAACATGGTGATATTATTAGGACGCAATTCGTTTTATTTAATTGCACTGCAGTCAAGTCTCGAAATATCAAAGTGCAATACGAGGAAGTGCAGATAAAATGTTGATGTGCGCTTACATTTCAAAGCCAACTATACGTTGTCATAAGCGTACCAGTGCATTTAGGGTAAAAGTCAGAAATGTGTGGGATGTGATGTATCGCTGTGATACATTACACTATCAGACTATTGAATCGCATCATGACATATCAATCAACTTATAAAAATTATTAGACAACAAGGCTGAATTACAAAGTTCAATTTATGCGGGTATATTTATATAACTTTATAAACTGTCAGATTTTAATGAATAAAATGTAAATGAGGCATACAAAAAATATATCAATTGTTTTAAAATGATTCAAGAGTCAGAATATTGACGTAACGAATATTAGCGTTATAATTAAACGTAAATACAACCAAACGTACCTTAATCATTGACAGTCTTATTGAGAGTGAAGTGTCATCTGACGGATTAGCTGTGGAAGCCCGTAAAGAATTAACTTGATCGATGATGTTGTACGCAGCATCCAATACTCTGTCGTCGTTATTAACTTTCTTCTCCATGGCGAGATTCCTTAAATCACAAAGTATCCTTCAGCACATTCAAAACAGTCCTATAGCAATAGTATTCATTTCACAATCATGCAAGTGATCGTAACGTACAAATTATTGATCCAAAATCACCCATATAATCAGGTACTAAGTCACTAGCATTATACCGGCAAAACACATGACATTTGTCGAAAGTTATTCGGAGTGCGTTCGACTCGGCGCGACAGTCAAGCCCCAACTAAAATAGCTCAATGGAGAGAACAGAAGCCTCCCGGATTATGTCTCATGCCTACCATACATTCAAGTTAACTTTTTATATGTATGTATAAGGCAGACGCACAAAGAGAGTTCGAACTGTACGTCTTCAGAGCTACGACTGTCTATGGTATTAATCAATTTCTTTCCCAAAGCAATTAAACTTTACGCAACTCAATACAATCTTACCGTTCCTTCCGCGCGTTTAACTCGTTTATCAAGTGCTGCCAGCGACGCCTTAGATTTTCTACAATTTTTTGTAAATCTGCAACGTCCTCGGGTGACGATCGATTCAGGATCTCAGCGTTTTGAGCTGTGATGGCATTTATGATACGTTGCATTCTAGATACCTCTTGTTCTAATTCTGAAACTTTTGTCTTAGATCCCTTCGAGGGTCCCGCACTGTTTATTTTCTTAAATGCCTCTTCCGTCTTTTCTAGCCACTCGGAGAACGACCAGCATGCATTGTGAAGTTCCTTCCAATTCTCATGACACTTTGTCCAGCGATTATATCGCTCTGTATTCTTGTGATTTACATTTAACCATTCGTCTTTTAATTTCTCCACCATGCGACGCATGTGATCGGCTTGGTCTCTTCGAGATTGTCGTACAAGAGTTTCACAAACGTAGCCTATCTCCTCGACGCTTGGCTTTAGTATGTTCAAAGCATTGCTTATCTTCTTTAAGCACTCCTCTTGACTTGGAAACAGTTCGTAATCCTTCCCGTTTAATGGAGTCGAATTTAACGATCGTGATATTGTTGATATTGCTTCTCTCAACTTATTTACTCTTGTGACGAAATCCTGGGTCGTCATTCCACCAATATCCTTTAACAATAATAATATTTATGTGAAAAACATTAAGCGATCATTTTGGATAACTTATGAGAAACTTTAAATACGAAATTAAAACAGAGATTGAAGAAAATAATTACGGAATATCGTAAAAGTGAACACGTACCAATTCCATCTTTTTATCAGTGACGTGCTTCTCTTTGTCCTTACTGCCACTAAATCTCTTGAACTGCGAGCTTATCTCTTGCCATCTACTGTTGATACTATAACGTACAAGATCAGAGTGCCCAATATTTAGCTTCTTCAACTCGCTCCCTAATTCGTTCAATTTACGTATTTGCTCTTGTTTCGCATCGAACTCCTCAGTAAATAATTCCAATTGACCTTCGTAATTATTGGCCTGCTCCAATTTTAACGGAACGTCGACGAACCAGGTTTCAAATTCTGTGACCAGCTTGTTATACTGCCTCAGCATCTCGTCAGATTTTTGTGCCTGCTGCCGTCGTGCCTCAGCTTCCGACATCACTTGATGCAATTTGCTCCTCAGTTTATCATGATGTTCGTTCTTGATCTTCTCAGCACGCACGGGATCGGTCATATGAACAGTCATAACTAAACCATCGCCTTTGCTTATCAAGCTGGCGGCATCGGGTTTTAAACAGCTTACTTCGTCTTTGAGAATCTACGATTAAAAGGATGCAAACAGAATCGATTAGATAAGATGAAAATTGTATAAATATGAGAAAAATATATTTCTCAAAAAGAAAAATACCTCGAGACGTCTGACAGGATTTTTCTCATTTCCCACTCCATTTAGAGTCATCAGCATCACGTCCATTCTGCGCAGCATCAATTGAGCGGCTTGCTCAAAGTCAATGATCTCTCTTTCTAGTCCCGCTCTGGATGGACTACCCTGCGCTCGAGATGATCCCGCATCGCTAAGTGCTTGATTAGCTTCGGTTTTTCGCGTTGCGAATTTCATAGGTCTTTCTGTTTTTATCTGAAGAAAAATAATCCTTTACGTGTCATACATTTTTTATATAAATATACAGTGCACGATATTAAAATAATGAGAATTAGTTACTGCATTATAATCGAAATAATGAAAGTTACTGCGACATGTGAATGCATCGTTAATTGCATAATACTTGGCACAATAGTCTGATGGCAAAGCAAGGAGCCTGCGGCATTACCTTGTCCAAGAGGTGTTCAACATGTTCTCCTAAGCTAGCGTCCTCGCCCTCCGAGCTGGAGCTACCAACATCGATCTCGGTATCGTCCGAAAAAATGACAGGGTCATCAGTCTCCTTGTCACTTCCATAAAAACTGTCACAATCTTCAAAAGTATCGTCAGATGACAAACTCCTCATTCTCTTTGGCAACGGTGATTTTCGATACTGTCTACTCTCGTTCGAGCGCATATTACAAGCGATTTCGTAAGTTTCAGAAAACTGAATATCCCCAGAGAAGGTCACTTCCTTCGCTTCGACAGATTTCTCCGGCTGTTTCCTCCTGGTACCAGTATATGAGCCAACCTCAGATTTCTCACTAACGGCATCCTGTTGACTGGGGTGCGGCTGATTGTCATCCAGTATCAAATATTCAGCAACGCTCTCAGTGTCCTTCCAAGTTGTTACAGCAGTTCTCTCAGTCTTGTCAACTCTATCTATAATTTGCAAACTAACCGAGGCTGATTCCTGGGATGGCGTCGAGGGTGGCGTCGCGGTGACCATACGTGAAGCTTTGAATCCAGATACCAAAACCCTAGGCGGTGCTTTCAGAGCCTCATCCAAGAATTTCGACAGATCGGCGTTTCCATCTCCAATATCCAACTTCAGAGTCAGCTTCTTGGTGTTCTTCACAGCAGCCTGGTCTGATGCTCTCTTCTTTTTTAATATAGGAATCAGTTCCTTCTTCTTCACTACGGGACTGCAGTGACCAGACAATCCCAACATCTTGACTCTGTTCTCGCGTTCCTCGGAATCCGTATCAAGAGACTCCGGTTCGGTTTCCGTATCCTCTATGATCTCAACTCTCTCGACAACCTGAGGCATTTGCTCTACACTGACATTGGCACTCGGCAGGACCACGTGATCTTCAGGCGATGCCACCGACTTGACGATCTCCATTTCCTTCACTTCAACAACGTGAAATGAATTGGGCTGCGCCCGGACCAGTTTGATAGGCTTCGCGTCCGTCGCAGTTAATGTGTTCGTAGAGACCTGAGAGAACAGTTTGCTATTCTTGGCTAGGAAGAATTCTTCGTCGTCGTCTGCGGGACGAGGATCTCTGTCGGATGGCGGCGAGGAAGAGGATTCTTCATCCGAAGTGAATGCCTGTGGCTGAGACGTCTGCACCACGTCAGGTATCGAACTCATGTCTAATCTTCTTCTGACTGTTCTGCTAGCGTCAATCAGCCTGGCTTTGGCTTTCTCTGTCTTTGCAGAAGACTTGCGACTTCGAAGTGGGATATCTATTGGTGAACTTTCAGGGGTTACGGGAGCAGTGGCCTGATTATCATCGAAGGCAGGATTTAGATAGCCTATTCCATACATCTCTTCATCCTCGTCTACTAGTTTCATTTCTTTCTTACGAAGGAACTGCGTGTCATGATTTATCTCTTTAGGCAATCTGTTCTGCCCCAGAGTGTCTCTCCCCTTCGTATCACCTGCCTTACTCTTAATCAATAAACTATCAGTGATCTTGTGTATCCATTCCTGCGAAAATATTATTCTTAACAGTAACTTCACAGTGAAGCGCCAGTTAGATTAAAGAGCGTGTTAATGGGGGATGACAATACTAAGCCAGGCCAAATGAGGCGAACTATGTATGCGCTGTGCAAATCAAGCTGAATTTTGTTGTTGTATGTTTCGTTTTGCTTTTGCTCCACCTATGTCCATCACCAGTGCAACGTCTTTCGTGTGTTTTCGCATTAAACTACTTTCTTCCCTTAAATATTTGTACCTTCTTACTTTCACGCTTCCGTATGGGGGTTCAAAGTCACATCCATATTTCTGAGGGGAGAGACAATTCCACGTGTTATTTTGATGATAAGACTATATGATTCGTCCGATCCAGCCACCAGGGACGTATTTTCTATTTCGTGCCGATTGCATTATTTACATAGACTTGTGACGTATTCGTTAAGCTAGTACCTTTGACAAGCAGAAGACACCTCTTGGACAAGAACGTAATAATACTATGATGCGCATATGTCGTCAATCACACAGTATCATACAATGCAGTCACATCGAACAGTCGTCTAGCCGTCCATTATTTATGTCTAAATAACATATCTATACCATAATGTTACAGGAATCTATTAGTAATAGACTACAATTATAAATGTATTACAGTACTGATCTGTAAGTCCATTAGAAATGTGCCGAAGCGTTGACGATAATAAATTACAGTCATGTATACCAATTATACTCATGAACTTACTATTATTCAAAGAAAAAAATTGAAACAGCGGTGAGAATGTTTAAACACAAATTATAGGGATCGTAACTTCTAGAATGATTTATTACCGTGGAGCAGGAATATTGACGAGAACAAAAAAAAAATGATAGAAGAAAAATGTAAGCGAAAGTGCGTCAGCAACTTTGGGATAGAGTCGTACGCTACGTACAGAAAAAGGACATATAATTCATGTAATACTTTAGATTCATGAAACTGTAAATATTGCTGACAAATCAATTTACCCATTTTCTGTATACGTAGATATGTACAGAGTAATAAATAGTAGGTACAGTGAAGCACAAGAATTGCATGTACCAAATGTTAACAGTGCAAAGCACATTATAAGCCACGAATGATAAGCAATGAGTGATTGAGAATAATAAGTTATGTTTACTGTAGAGAACTGACAAGAAAGTACTATCGTCTTGTAGAAGGAGACGCAATAATTCCTACGTACTTGTATTCTGTTGGAAATATCCTCCCACTTGTCGCAAACCTCCGCAACTTTTGGATAAAATGAGAAACGTTGGAGCTGGGTGACTTTTGGTTTTGTCTCTTTCATTTCACTCTGTATAGCCTGACAGCCAAAAAGCAGAGTAAAATCTCAATAAAGATTTTTCAAATAACTTATTATAATAATGAATAAATTTCGATCGTAAACCGCAATCTAAAAATTCAATGTTGTTACCTTGCATTCTTCAAAATGTTGCTCATTCAATTGGTCCATCGGAACAGCATCCAGCTTATTTAATTTCTCTTCGGTTTGCATCAACCACGCATTTATTTCATCGACATTAGGCTCATCCTAAGAAATTTAATAATTTTCATTAATATAGTGTAATATGAATTTATAATCATGTTTAGTTTGTATTTATTGTCCAGTAATTTACCTCTGACCCACTGCAGAGTCGCAATCTTCTTTCGGTATTTGCTAATCGAGTCATTACATCGGATATCCTTTCCTTCAGCTGCTCCAGATACATTGGATCACATAGTTTTGAAAACTCATCTTGAGAACGGAATAATTTATCTCTTACAACGTTCAAACGCGGAATGACTTCCATTAGAGTTTCCTGTCAATAAAATATTGCATAAACGTTTTTTAGAAGCATTTAAAAAGCAAGATATTAATGTCAAACAAATACGTACTGTTACGTATATCGCGTTCACTGGTAAATCAGGCATATTCTTCTGTGTATCCAATTCCTTATTTATACTGTCCACAGACATGTTAATATACGTCATGTGTTTATAAATGTCACGAGATAACTCCAATGCAGATTCCAAAGTAGATTTCGATTCTGTTATTTGCAGTCCGAGCTACAAGTGAAAAAAGATTTATTTATAGATACTTTTAATGTGAATAATTGTATTTGAAAATGTACATACTTTATTATACAATTCCTTGAGTGTGTCGATGCGTTTCGAAAACTTTTCTGGCTCGGGAACGTTCCTATCTTCAACCAACATTCTGCCAGTTACGATGATGCTCTCAATTTCACTTTTAATTTCACTCAGCGTCTGATAAAATCGCTATAACAGAAAGTTGGATCCGTGAGTATCATTCTAGTCCATTTGACTTATCGTACAATACTTATTATATTTACCAAACAATGTTTGAGTTGGCCTTCAATAGCCTCGGGATCCTCAGACGACAGTTCCAACAAACACGTAGCTTCCTCAATACCTCTAAGTTCTCTAAGGGCCCTGGACAGTCTGGGCTCAAGATTGGTAGGACAGCGGAAACGCTGGAACTTCCTTTGAACCTCATTAAACTTTTGTTCAATCAATGACGTTTGTTCCTGCAATCTAACAGCAGCTTCATTCTTCCCAGCAGCCTTGTAAGCTTCGACCTGAGCTGCCATTTCTTGAAGAGTACTCTGCTGGTTTTCCATCTCCTCCATTAATTTCTGCACGCAATTATTTATAAAAAATCTCAATGTTTGTGTAATACGATAAGACTTGTTATACCTTTGACGTTAAAAACGCTTTCATGCTATACAAGTAAACACTTGTCATTACCAAACATTGACATATAATGACAATATGCACACGAAAATTGTCAAAAAAATATGTTTCATGCTATAACAATGCATCATGCTGTCATATAAAAACACACTTATCCACGAGGTTCATGATTGTAGTCTATATATTTAATGTTGATGAGAATTTTGAAAAAAAAAATACCTATTATCTATTTGACTATCTTTAATTTCCGAATTGTCGATAGAGAAGGTACGATATAAGTAAAAGATAATAATCGTGACAGACCTGGTAGTCATGTGGCAAATCGTCAGCAGTGAGGTCGCAGTCAAGACGTGCAGTTAGTACGGAGTCTACTTGCGTTAAGGAATGTTGAAGAGCTAGTATGCGCCCTTCGGATTGTTGAGCTTGCTTCACTGATCCTTCCAACAGCTTCGCCCGTTCCCCGGCCTACTCAACAACACAACTCTATCTTTCTACCTCTGTCATATGCGCCGAAGCAACTCCACAATTCCCATAAAATATCTTTTTATTCTATGCATTTGGCTATAACGCCCAATCGCTAAAAGTTGCCCATGTGACAAATAATAAACAGCTTTATCTTAAAAACTTTAATAACTTTTGATATTGCTTGCAATAAATTATAATGACGATAACATAAATTTTCATGTGCGTAACTGATGCGATATAATCAAACGTGAATCATTCTTTTACTGACTGGATCGTTTACATGCAGTTATTCAATGGGAAGCCAATGGTTTGCTTACACAAGCGTAAGCGTTTCTTTAGATGATGATCCCCACATTCCAAGCATTGTGAGATATGTGTATCCGATGAAATGATGAGAATATTTTAATATTAGTAACGACTAGTAATCATGTGGTCAACTTATTTTTACCTTTTTATTTAAATTTTCCCACCGACTTGTTAAAGCCTCTACGTCTGTTTGAATGGATTGTGTCATTATGTCGTTTTCCACGAGTTGTTTACCAATTTCTTGGATTTTTGAGAATCGAGATTCTAGATGATTTCGCACGTAATTTTCTAGATCCTGAAATTGAATGTTATATGTGTTTTAGATAATAAGAAGAATTTTGTACAAATCGATGAGACTTGATAACTTACGTCCAGTTCCTCTGAAATTTCTTCAGCATCGGCTGCACTCTTCGTTGACTTTTTCAATCTTTTATCAAGCTTATCCAGCCAATCACTTTCCTGGGCAACTAAAGCTCGAAATTCTCCATATTCGTGACTCGCGTTCTGAAGCTGCCTGTATCGCTCATAAATACGATCCGTGACATCCGTCCATCTTGCATTCAAATAGGTAAATCGTCGTCCAAGTTCTTGTACGGAAGATCCCTCGGAGCTTAACAATTTATCATTCCCCATCTCATTGAGATTTCGAAACTCCTCCACGCGTTTATCGACCTTGTCTTTAAGTATCTGATAACGACCACGAACTTGAAACAGTTCCACGGAAGAAGTTATCTTAGACTCAGCTGGTATTTCCTTTTCCAAACCTGCCAGCCACTTTGTGAAGTCATCAATTCCATTAATGATCTACCGAGAAACAAGTAATGTATCAATAATTTGTATGACTCCAAAAAAATTATCTTTTACTATTTATAACAATACCTCGTCGTTCTTCCTGAGAGCGTTTTCGTATTTATCACCTTGAATTTTCGTACCATCAACAACTCCGTGCCATTTATGGGATATAGCCTCGAGTTTATCGTTCAAAATATTCGCGAACTTTGGCTCGGAGTTCTCGAGCAGTCTATTCGTGGATGTTTGCAAACTCTCAATCCGTGGCTTGGTCTTGTTTATTTCATTGGAAAGTTTGCGAATTTGCTCGAGCTTAAATTCCGTTGTCTTCACGTCGTTAACGAGAGCATCTTCAGATACTTCCTCAAGATATCTTGTAGATTCTTCTAACCAGTTTTCCAAGCTTTTGAGTTCGTCATTGAACTCTTTCAGAGAATCAATATCTAGGAGAAACAGTAACAAAAAGCATAAAATGAATAAATATTGTATAATTGTTTTTCTTGCTTTTACTGCTATTAGAACAATAATCAATGGATCATCACTAAATACCTTTTATTAATTTTTGTTGCCTCTCTTCAAGAATTATTGGAATGTCGCTCCATTTCGTATTTAGATCTTGCAATTCCTCTCTGAGTCTCTGCGCTTGAGGGTCAGTATTCATCTTTGCAATTAGTTCCTGACCTGTACTGTTAACGTAACTGAAGTTATCCTGATGTTCCTTTAAAGAATTTTGAAGTTGCTTAAACTTCCTGAGCTGTTCCTCCATTGTCTTCTCATCAGACATAATTGCATGCTCGGAGAGCAGAACGCCTTCTACGTTATTTATGAATGACACAAGAGCGGCCATTGTATCAATGTACTTTTTAGGTGGTGTTTTGTCAATAGCATTGTTTAATTCCGTGAGTCTATCCGAGAGCCTGTACAATATTTCGTTATGATGATTCACACAATATTTTAAATAAAAGATATTTTCTTATTGAGTTCACTCACTTTTTCAACAACTCATCCCAGCTAGAAATGAGTTTCTTTATATCAGCATCAACGGCACCACTGTCTTCTCCAGCAGCTGGATTTTCCATTAATTCCTGTCCTTTACTTATTAATTTCCTCATGCGATCTTCGTGGGAATTCATTGACTTCATCTTTACCTAAACCGAATAAACAGTCGTTAGCATCAAAAGTAATCATTTAACGAATTGAAAAACTTACTCTGAATATCTCTATTTGGGTATTCTTTTGATTTCCATCGAACCATTTCAAGTAACCATCTAGCATTAAACGCAAACTTGCTAGATCCGTGTGGAATTTTTTAAGGTTCATTAAGAAATCTATTCGTTCTTTAATCTCTTGAAGTCGGTTATTTCTGGCATTCCAGCAATGCATAAGATCGCGAACTTTCTGCTCCTCTTCTTCGGCCGATTCGTTTTCCTGCTTAATTTCATCAATCAATTGCTTTCCTAGTTGAAGAACTTTTTCGTATTCAGCTTTGTGCGATTCCACGTCGGCCAAACTATCCTCATAAACAACTTTTTTCTCCTCCACGCTCAGTTCATCGAAAACACCTTCGGATCGACCAATCTCTAAATCAATATAGTCTAGCCACTTATATAAATTAACTAATGCCGTATCGAATTCCTGTCTTGTCGTACTGGCAATGCGACGTTTCTTGGAGTCGCTATGCGGAGAGGTCTGAAAATGGAATATAATAAACAAATACCCAAGGAACACTAATCCAGTAACAAAAATATACGTAATTACAAAACAATATTTATATAATAGAAATATATATGAAATACTAACCGCAGCTGCAATTTCTTCCTTGTAGGCGATCCTGGTGACGGTCTCAGACATCCATTCGTTGCCGGTGACTCTCGTTTCAGTAAGAGGTTTCAAATCAAATTCGAATCCAGAACTCGATATCTGATGAACAGGACACGACGGCATATAAATTGATAATTCTTACCAATCTGAATGAGAATGATAATGTAATTAAGAATATGCCTTCTTACCCTCTGACTCTGTACTTCCATAATCTGACCAACAGCATCCCATTGATCTTGCAGATTCTCAATTTTCTCTAATATGCTTGCATACTCTGAGGAAGTGCCCTTATCCTCCAATTCCTGGATAGATCTCTGCAGTGTCGTTAACTTCTGATGATTAAAGTCCATTTCTATCTTAAGCTTCTGCAGCTTCTTTATTCGCTCAAGAACTTCGCCAATCTCGGAAGCGGGGTTCGCTTCCATTTGCTTTAAAGTAATTTCCGTCTCGTTGAGCCAGGTTACCAATTTCTTATAATCTTCCATTAAATCCTTCCACAGTGAGGCTAACGATTGGAGGCGTTGACCCCTCTCCTCCTTCCACTGGCAAATATGCGTCCAACGTTCGCCCAAGGCGGACAGCTGATCTTCCATCTGGGCATAAACAGCTTCGGAGTTCTCTTCGTCGACCACAACAACCATGTTCCGCAAACCATCCACAATGTGTTGCTGCTGCTCTATATCTTTCTCCAGTTCATTCAATTGATTCATCTGATCATCCAATCCTGATTGATTAAGCTCAACAGCTGCCATATGCGAAATTCTATCCTCAGTTTTCGTTAGCCACTGCCTAAGCGAGTCCAGCTGGCTCTGTTGCATCTCCATCAGAACCTTGGCAGATAACAAGATATCTCTACATCAAAGCGTGTTACGATGCCGTACAATCTGGACGCGTTTAATTAAATAAGATAACAAACTAGTACAGCATCAAGTGATATCTTATTTACCTCGTGTATTCGAGACTGTCTCTCCATGGCACGCATCCTAAGTCCTTCCCACCGAGAATTAAGCAAGGACATCTGAACACGAACTTCGTGCTCTTCATCCTTTTGCAAACCCCCCTCGGCAAGTAGTCGCGCCCCTTCCTCTAAGACAGCGCCAACTCCATCCTGATGCCGTGACAGTTCCATTAAAAAGGTTTCGTGCTCGTGAAATTGTTGCTTCAATGTATCCAAAGTAGCGCCAGGTTCCGGAGCGTGGTTTAATTTATCCTCCGCTTCCAAAAGCCATGTTAGTACGTCCTCCAGGGCAACTTGGTAACCACCAAGCTCCACTGAGACATTAGTGGCAAGACTCATAGGTCGCGAGCTCGGCATACCGAAATTTGCGAACGACAAAGAGCTCTAAGGCAGGAACAAAGTATGATTAGTAAGAAAATCATTGATCCTCAGACATTGTTCATTAACGCAAAGCCAAGACAAACGTCAATTCTACAATCTGTACCTCTACTCCAGGCGTCGTTACAGGACTGGAATCACTAGCTACGGAAAGAGCTATATCACCAACGTCATCTCCAGAATGCGGCAAGGATTGAAAGAGGCACATGACGTACATCATTATTGACTTCTTATCTGGCACCGACGTATTAACATCTGCCAAATACATAACGAAATGAAGAACAATCTATGTTGATTAATAAAAAGCATAAGTTGACTGCTATGTACAATTGATCCAAACTATTAATTACCCTCTGGATCGAGAAGTCTCTCGATATTAAGATGTTCCTGGGCAAGACGGAAAGCATGATCGAGCCTAGCGTTAGGATGTTTACGAGCGACGTTGTTGAAGTCAAACAGGTGCGGTTTCCATCTGTGAAGAAGAGCGTTGAAGGCTAACCCATCAGACCACGACGTGGTGAAGTTCTTAATATCAACACCGGGATAATTCTGAAACAAATGAATCATTATGTAAAAAGTAATGACAAAGGATACGATTTCGTTAATTTTTACATGAAAATTTCACACTGCACGTTATTACCTGAGAATTTTGACGACACCAGGCTAGAAGGGTTTTTTCCAAATTTGTCTGTTGCAATTCCGTCATCAGGTCCTTCAGATGGTAATGAACCTATACACAAGTAATTCGTTACTCTATTTTCATCGATTATAATGAATCTCGATGAATGCGGCATTGCAACAAGACTCCAAGGTCTGTTTGATACTTTATAGTGTCTTTAGTATGAAAACAGAATTGTAATAAGTAGATGATACATCCATTTAGCAATGGACATCTATGATACAAGTATTATTTATACCCAACGTCACTTACGTAATATAAAAAATACAAAGTAAATACGAATTAACCAAATGACAATAGTGTTATCCATTTTTTTTTATCTACTGTATGCAATTAAATGCTTACGAATTTCCCAAGGTAATTGCACTTTGGTTCGTTCAATTATCGCCGCTTGATGGGTACAATTTTCAAACGATCGGTGTAACTATTGTCTTCGAGCTTTTCAAGGAATCTCCAATAATTTTTCAATACCGGACTGGGCAGTAGGGGTTTACATGACGCAATGTCTTCTCTTCCAATACGAAACTTTATACGTGGACGTAGTATCACGTGGAATTGATCGAGCGCTTCGATCGTAGGGGTGATAAAGCAAGTAATTTTTTTCTTATTTTCGCTGACCTATTTTTTCGAAATACGATCAATAATCTCGATACGACGTTCACTCATTTTTTTTCCTCACACGAATCACGTCAAATTAGACTATCGAAGCTCACCTGCCAATGAAGAATAATGCTCCAGACCAGACCCAACGTTAATTTCGGATTGCCGTCGACGATATCGTTGCTGCTGATATTGACGAGTTTCACCTGAAAGTAAATTAACAATTTATTCATTAAGTCTTTCACAGTTCCTCCCTAGACATTAGAATTCCAGACGGAAAATCGTTAAAGCGTTTATCACTTACGTTGTTCTGTTCGAGAATTTGCAATGCCTTGTTAACGTTATTCAAATGATGAACTCGCATCCGACCGCGTTCCCTTTTCTGCAATATCAAACAGTAATTCCAGCATGAGACGAGACGAGTCAAGAATGGCTAACAGTTACGTTAAAAAATAAAAAGTAGAAAAATAAAACGTAAACAAAGGTGCACTATGCACATGGCATTTCTACGCCTCTCTTCCATCGATTATCGTCATGTTTATGCAGAATTTTCAACAAACAGCATGCACCTGAACGGAATACACTATAAGGGAGAACAGTGGCTGGTATGAAAATCACGAAAAAAAAAAGAAAAAAAAAATATCTCAAGAAAGAACAACCCTCATAAATCATTTAAGGTACCATCCCCTAATAGCGATGGTAGCTGCAGCTCGTCCGATACTCCGTCATTTATAATTCCAATGACGACTAATTGACGTTGACTGCACGTAAGCAACAGCATCGACGGCACCCAAGCTACAGGGTTATTCGCAACAACTGATTACGTCACGTGTCTCCCATCTTCAGCATCACGAAGAGTGTGAAGAATCGCTCGAATTCCAAGATCATCGTTAAGAATTCCATACGCAATCAGCGTCAGGAGCCGCGAAGACTATGAATACAGTTGACGTTCAGGAGCAAACAGACAGTCATCGCCAGAAGCGTTTAAATCGGTGTTCGCGTCATTTAAAATCAGCCATTACTTCATTTCCAAATGGAGCTCAGTTATAATCGTAGCTATAGAACAAATGCAGAGTCATTCAAATTCGACTCAAAGATGCATATATACATACGCCTACGTTTCCTCTAGACAGTAAGTCATTTATAATTACACGCGATACAGCATGGCGATTCGTATTGCACCATGTAACCATGACAGTCGTCTTTCTAGAAAGCCATATAGTACTTTCGTTTAACGATGCAGCCAATTGCTGAGAAATTAAAATAATAATAATATATGGAGATACTATAACGTATACTCACGTATGCTTTAGAAGTGAGGACTTCCAGTAGCGAGAGAAGACGGTTTCCATCTCTCAGATCGACAAAGAGATCTGCGATTGGTTCGTGATGATTCTGCGAAATATAAAGCCAAGAATTTTTATATCAGTATGTATATATATATGTATATACATGCACGCTAGAATAATTACCACTGCGAGTGAAGGAGTCGGTTAAAATTACGTTACTGGAATCCGGTAACGGGGGCGAACAACATAGACTGCATGACTAACAAGTTTTTACGTCCTACACGGCTAAAATTCTTTCGAAAAGTCAAATCAGACGCACGTGTGCACGAGAGATAGGGGGTTAAATGTCCTCAGGTACGCCGTACAGTACTTTACACACGAGTCGCAAATTCCGCACATTTTACGAATCGATTGGCTAACGAAAGGAACGTGACCTGTGAATTAAAAGCCACCAAGATTCTTGCGGCGAAGCAACAATTAAAGTCGTCGGGACAATGACTGTATGTATATAGGTATATCAATAAGTCTCTTGTGGGAATTTAGCGAAAATTCTCGGACGCACGGGACACGAAGATTGTAAGAATAGAAAGTATAGTATGTTCGCGGTAGCGAGAAGATTTCACGAAATTCTGTATGATCTTAGCGAATATATCGAAAAATTACTCGAAAAAGTCGTTAATTACGCTAATTAATTAATCAATGTAGTAACGCGAGTTGAAACGTCGAACGAGACCTCCAATTTGAATACGGCGTCAATTAGTAAGCAGGTATCGCGGTTACTTTACCTTGAGTAGCTGGGAGTTTATCCATTTGGCGAAAGTTTTCTTCTGCACATCTTCCCGTTCGTCTGAAAATGTTAAATTAATGAGAAATACGTGGCCAAACTGATATCAATGATTAATGGGGTTCAATTCATAGACTGAATGGAGAATATGATCATTGATTATTCAAGTGTTCCATTATCGTCTCGGGTGCATCGTACGATAATGGATCAACGAATTCTTCGTTATTTACATTCCATTTGTATGCACCTAAGCAAACGTCAATTATATCTACCGGTGCATCTCGCCAATGGTTGTCTAATATTTTTGCACGTAAAGCATCTGAAAATTATACCATAAGAACCGACGTACTGTGTAAGAAAAATATATTTTTTAACATCTTTTCGTGCCATTCGATATTACGTTTTTTTTTCAACCAGAAACGTAAAGACAAAAGTTGGGTAACGAATTTTTCCATAAATTAAAAATTATGTAATTTTACTTTGGAAAACAAGTTAAACAAGCTTTCCCCCAGAATGCTCGTTAAGAATTTCCCGTCTATTTTCTTATGCGATATCGTCGGTCAACAATCTAACTAACTCATATATTCCCACGCGAAACTCCCTGTGTCAGTACAAACACAGCACTTTGGAGCAAACTGCATCTTGTACACGTGTGGTTTACCTTCCGAATTTGATCGCATCGCTACCATTCCAAAAGTGCTTTTCGAGTAGAGGCGAAGTAACTGGAATTAATTTGATCGAGTAAAATCCAAAATTTAGATAAAGCGTTATCAAAAACGTATACAGAAGTGTCAATTTCAAAGTGCAGACGTCACACGTGAAATCACGCCAAATCCAGACAGATGAATATCGAAATTTCAAAAATCGCCCCTATTCACGTTATTCGAAAAAAAAAAAAAAAAGAAATACCGTTTCAACTATAGATTCAAAATAAAATCATCCCTCCGTTCCGGACAGTTTACCTAGAAACGCGTGCGGAAGGTCTCCCGCGAGGAAAGTACATAAACCGTAAGGTTACTACCTCGATATCGTGGTACGTTAACTCCGAATCTAGTGTAAGTAGCTTAATACTAGAAAGAATAAAAGAAAACCTATTCTCCATACCGACTAACCTATAAAGTCCCAATTGGTAACTCCAGCTGTGTAACAGTCGAGTACACGAGCCTCGTTCGTGCGATTGAATAAATGCAAACTCCGTAACGAAAGAAAGAATAATTATCGTTAATTATCGACGTGACAGCATCAGTCTCGTCCAGCGCGTTAACACTCGTTGACCCCCATATATCTCGCTCGACTAGGAAACTCACGAAATTTAGGTCGACCGGTACACGAGCTACGAGTCAAAACTGTGTTGGTACTGAAAAGGTTTGTCTCTTTGAAGTTTGATACGTAACGCACATAGCGGCAAAGATTCTTTCCTAGGATGATGAAACGGAACGGGGAGAGCCTCAGGTGCAGAAATGCACTGAGAAATGCAGCAGGTACGGTCACTGTAGGAATGAATGAACGAACACGAACGAGAGAAGCATGTAAGAGCTTAGCGAGAAGGGGAGAGAGAGAGAGAGAGAGAGAGAGAGGATAGAGAAATGATAGAACAAACCGACGGACTTCTCCTACATTCTGATCGTAAATGGGGATCACGTACTCGAAGTAAAGTAAGCCGTAAGATCAGTACGGTGCATCCGTTGCTACCGTCTGGCTACGCCTGCAGAAACGACCGAGAACGTCTTGACGCTGAAACCGAAGCAATGGCCAGGTAAATATACTACGTGAAACCATGCAATCCCCAATATGGTCTTCAACTGGTTTCTTGCTGGTAATTTCTTTGCATCTCGACGTGTCGTCTCCGTTCGGTACGTATAAACGGAGACGCAATCATTGTCGGGTCAAAGGAATCAGGATTGATCCAAGTGAAGCAAAGCTATGATTATGTCAAAAATAAATAAAAATATCGTAAAGGATGAAAACGACGGTTGGATAGATCTGTAAGAATTTTGAGAAAATAGAAATTGAACCCAAATATCACCATAATGAAAATGAAGCCGGTTGATTTTAATAACTCTCAAGTGGAACAAGAGGTGGACCACGAAGGATGTACCACATCCTCGACGTCCGGCTCTTAAGGAAGAGTTGCTAAAGAAGGAAGTCCAAGGAATACCATCTTCGAATCGAGTATCTCGAGTACTGCCTCTCACGACCCTCTCCGACAAGTGGTACCAGGATGACGGATGTAACCAAGAGTGAAATTGATGAGTATAAGATAGTTCCTTGTGAACAAAAAAAAAATATGCAGCATCGCCTGGAACCAATGCCAGAAGATCAAGTGTCAATCTATCTGGTCTTAGAGGATGGTCCAAAAAAAAAAGAATAGTCGCCAAGGCCATAGGAAAATACGAGTACCCTTGGCGAGTAGCAAGGCGTGACCTATAATAATAAACCGTATCTCGTGTCCGTAGCGAAGTGGTCGCCAACCGGTATTCACGTAACCATATGTAATGCACGACGAAAAATCGTCACGACCGCCATTAACCACAAGCCGAAAGATTTTTCAATCCTTTTAGAAATTCTCGTTGGAAAAAACTGACAAGGCAGGAAAGAGTGTTACCCGCCATTTATATTATAAGACAGAATAAATCCTCATTCCACCTAAGAGTCGCATCTTCAAAGCGATTCACGTCGCAACTGTCACAGTTTATGCTTTTCTGCGAAACCGTAATACCCAAGACGGCCACGTTCAGCGAACCAACGGGAACGAGAGAGCCAATGGAAGGAAGAAGAAAAAAAAAATTGTCAAAAATGTGAAAACCACCGAAACGGTTGTTCCAAGTTTCTCCTGATAAGTAAAAGCACGCATAACGATGCCATGACGTATGGCGAAGACGGCCAAAGCTGTTCAGCTGGCATTTGGCTAAGTTTAGATGTAATTCACGAGAACATTTCGTAATTATCTTGAGCCCTCCGACAGTAGTAACGCGGTTACGACATACGGTTCGTTCAACCCTTTTCCTTTTGAATGACGTAGACTCTTATGGACACGCATGGACAAACGGACCGGTTACTCGGTAATTGCTCGAATAAGTGAACCGACAATGGAATGGCAGACGAGTGCAAGACTCTCCGTTATGTCACGGCGTGTGTGCGGTGCCGCTACTAGTTTCTGTTGGTATTACGCGTAGCACGCGGGTCAATCAGCGTAATGGAGCAGGACTGCATAAGTAAGAAGACTGTGATGCGCCTAATATGTCTGGTATGGTTAACATGGCTGATACTTTTGATAAGGTCGAACGAGACCGAATGCGTGTAAATTCACATGAAGCGTCAGCGTGGCGACGGCTGGACTCCATTTTAGTAAACAGTTTAACTGCAGACTCCTTTTTTATATCTGTTGGCCGACGTGTAGTTTCCTTTGCTTACGTTCAAGCTGCATAGCAGTCTCGTGCCAACAGACTGCGACTGTCTGGTAACAACAACGAGAATGGTAGTTTTCGTTGACCCAGCTGGCAAAAGGCAATTTTTGGGTACGAAACGAATGTAATTTTTTTTGTTTCGAACGTTCGAAGCTCTCGATAAAAAAAATCGTTTAGACTCTATTGGATTTGGTTATTTTTATCTTTAGATATTTGCAATCGGAAAGTTTATCTTTACGTGGGAAGCTCGTTTATATCTTGGTCGACGGATGTAAATCAGTCTGGCTCTTTGAATTTCATACAGCGTTCGGCGTCCACGGGATTATTAAATATCCGTGAATTTAACCGATGATTCTTTTTTGTAGCTACGGGCCCGTGTGATCGACAGTAGTTTCGTTGATGGAAACTATAGAAAAATATTTTTTTGCAATTTCTCTCGCATTGATTTTTAGAATCGTCCGAGACAAATTGACGCGAGAAGAAATAAGAAATGCTTGAAAATATAACGGGATATGTTTCGGACCGTTTGAAAAATACAAAAGGTCCGAAATTCGATCATACGATGTTTTTCGAGAAATTTGAAAAATTTGCTAATTCCGCGAAATTATTTATCCACGTCATCGCGCCAAGCATAAAGGATTGAATACAATCAATTGAACTAATACTATCGGCAGATCAGTGACGTAAGCATCGCATCTTCACAGCGTGTTCAATCAATCGCACGGAATTACCACTATGAGGGTTCAGCGAGCATATCGACGATAGATGCGGGATTTATATTGAATAAATCGAAGGCATCCTAGCGTGTCTAATTACACTCGAATGCTATCACGATTGCAAAACACCCGCGTAACAATTAATATCAATACCAGCAAGAGAGGCGCAGAGACAGCAGCCATGAAAATCGAAAAGACAAACGACCCTCCCTTATACGAGCCATGCGGCTAAAGTAACGTAATTCCATTTCCGACAATGACTGCTTGATAAACAACTCACGTGTCACTACTATAAGAACAATAATCGCTATACCACTGTCCGGTACACCTCATACGCATTAGACACGTGAGAAGCAACGCCCCGAACGGTCACAATCTTAGACGGTCGTTCGCGTCCAGCTATTGGCACCCCCTCTGCATTTTGCATTAATTAACTTTGGCTAATTAGCTCATTTGCAAGTACGTACGACACGTGCCACCCGCCACGTAGACAAAACTAATCTAGGTTAATGTCAGCCAAATCAAATGGAGACGTTGGCAGCATCGCTTCCGTAAGGACTGAAAGTCGCTGCAACCCCTCTGCGTGTAATCAGTGTATTCATAAGGGTAGAAGAATTGTTCTCGGCTAGCATTAGAATACTCGTCGTCCCGGATTCCCTTGCAGTAAACGCTGACCGCGCGAAGTTGGCTGCCGATGCTCAGACGCGTTTACAAAGGCAGGAAGCGATCCCAGATAATATTCAAAGAACTCTCGAAATCGCGCGAGACATTTGCATCGAATACGCGCGACCGGCGAAGACACAACACCCGGGAACCGTGTCGTAGCTCTGGCATTAACGGTGAAATTATGTGAAAGGTGAAAAGAGAATTGCATAGTACAAGGTACTTTATGGAGATCGAACAGAGACGCGATGTGAATATACAGACGAGTATTTAGTCGGGTGTTTGATTTAAGGGCACGATTAACTACCGTGCGCCGCGCGCGGCAATTTTGGGAACCATGACATCGGGCAACGGGTTTAAAATTGGAATGTCTGGCCAATGGGAGAGGCGGGTAGAAAATTTTGGAAATTCACATTAAAAAAATATTTTGTTATTGTGATGCATCTACCACGTGATATAGGTAACGTCGGGAATAGAGTTCGAGAAAAATGTATTGAACGTTTGGTTTTTGAAGAAATTTTTAAATCGCGAATAGCATACGAGCCACGTGTGGAATATTGAATAAACAAAAATGGCACAATAAATTGAAACAAAATCTCGTTCATCAAGGTTTTAACGCAATCTCTGTCTCGCTCGAAGAATATTATTCTTTTTTTTCAATCCCACGAAACACTTTCTTCCTTTCGAGAATATTTTCTGGAAGAACTCTCGTTGCCTCTCAAGGCAGATTCGAGGCAAAAAAATAATTCTCCCATTGAGTGAAGGAATTTCCAGAAAAACGTCTACTATACGAGTTTCTGCTATGTATGTTGGTACATACGAATTTACGTGTATGCCTGACGTCTATGCGTGTCCGTAAACTGGATAACCGTGTCGAAACGTAAAATTCCAATCCTGACAAGGATAGTAATGGCGCGAAATTTCAAACATATTTTCCAACGCGCGGTTACACAAAACACATCGCTTTCGTATAACGTACGAGAGAAGGCCATGAAAGATAAAAACGAGATCAAGTAGTTAAAAGTTACGTTACGCATGATCGACGCGATTGACGTTCTAAAAATCCTTCCGAACTACCCAAGAATAGTTGCCATCCATGAAGAACGTTCATTTATTCGTGTTATCTGTTATTGCAGTTTGCACCACGTAAAAGTGGTATTTGCTCACGTTTCACATAGTAAAAGGAACTTAGCCAGCCTTAATACCTCAACCATAATAAAGACAATTAATGGTATTTGTGGGAACGGTGGAGCAAACGCTAAACCTCAAAATTCTCTATCGATACAAAGCCAATACGAATACGGTGACTTGATATATTGGCGGAACCTATGGCGGCATTGCCTAAGCGTGTCCCCCCTACGTGGAAATTGAATCGCACTCGAAATTGGTTTGGCAATTTAATTAGATCCTTGAAATCCAGTAAATTCGCATGTGCGATAGCACGGTTGCAATGTGTTCGCGATTTAACTGATCTCCAGCACAAAGCAACGTGCCAAAGTGCTGAGATAACACATGCAACGAGTTCACGATTCAAGCGATCTTTCCGTTTGGCGGACGTGGGATAAAGTGTCTCCTGTGACGGTCGCAAGAATCGGGACCGTCTTGTCTAGCCGCCCTAAGGTTGACAAGCAAGAGAAAGAAGGCTGGAAAAATGTGTTCGTAAAGCCACTCCTTTAACGACGTCCATTCTACAGATTCCTAAGAACCTTAGAAGAACTTGGAAACTATTCGGCGATCTGGGTGTGGAAGGATCACATACTCTTTCAAGGGAAAGACAGATACCTACTGTACCCTGCCTATAAGCTGCGTGTCTTGAAACTCGTCATCGCTTTCCTGGCATTGTTATCCTGGACATTTCGTCACGCAATCCTGTGCACGATGCTTATCGATTTTCTCAATTTTGGCAAAAGCGCCGCGATAGAGTCGATGCGTAAAAAAAAAAAAACTATTCCAGATGCCGGAATAGTATAATCGATACCAGTCATATATGATAAGGGAGAGAAATAAATTGTTCAAAAAAAGAATTTCCAAAATTTATGTCTTACGTACATGACGAGACTCCTATAAAGTGGAAATATCTGGGGCACGGGTGTATTCCACGAAGAGGGAACATTCTCTCGGGAGTATAATTTATCTCGAATATTCAGGGACGCTGAATTTACTGCCGATACTAACAATTTATTATTTCCAAGCCCTGAAACCCCCCTCCCACCAGCGATTCCACACTAGAACGAACACATATGTTCTGTTGGTAGACTCCTTACCAAACGGAGAAACATTTTTCGATTTCCATGTATCTATGTATGTCTACTCTGCTTCCTTCGTCGTTATGACCCTACGACTTTACAACGAGATACCATTACCATGATAAAGATACTCTTATGCGTTCCTACCCAAAACCATCTGAGAGCACAAAAATTATGTGGCCCTAGGCCTTACCCATGGGATCTCCATGCGAGCCCGCTTGGACTACACAAGTATTCAATTCAAGCGCAGAAGCGTGTTTCCGTCCGAGAGTAGGTGTGACGTGGTTGTTGACCTGATGGCATAGGACGAAACTTCACCAAAGGCATTGTTAATAGCAGTGGCGATGTATAAGTAATTTAAAAAAAAAAGAAAACGGAAGTACTGGGTGTGCCGTAAACAAATACCAAGTTACAATTAATAACAGAATTATTGTTCATGTATGCTAAATACCTGCTTTATTAGTCACCCTCTATCTTTACCCCGATAACGCGCGGTAACCGTAACTCCTCCCAGTCGCAAACTTACCTACGGTATACGATTTACGTAGAGCATGAGCAAATAGCTGAGAGATAAGATAAGCTGGACACCAAACAAAGATAACCTCATTGCCTACCATTCATGATATTCTGATAACTCTTAGGTAATTCGTAAGGTGTCTATGTCAGTTGCCAGTCGACGTGTTCCAATAATCGTGTTACTTTAGTCGAATTCGAAGACTGTTCTATGTAGTAAAATAATGGTTCAAGAGTAATACGCAATTCGAATAATCTACACTCTTTGTATACACACAATGGCACTCCATTATTCGTATATTGACATCATCGAGCACGCAGCACGTATCAAGCAAATTTGTATTTCGAGAAGGAAGGCGATTTAAACGACAAATAAACTTGCTTCGCGCTGACGAACGGTATTTATTTGTCAAGTCGTGCACACGTGTACAGTACCCAGGAACGAGAAGACAACTGTGTTTATAGCCAGTTTAAATGGGATAAAGACAAAGCCTCTCCCTACGAAAACCGGTTGTTATCGGCCGGTAACGTTGTACCCCACGCAAAGTTTCGAATTCCGTGATACATCCTCCCAGCGACCAATGTCCGTCGAATGACAGTCAACGTAAATTTATACATCATCGAACTGATTCTTCGTTTCCTCGGAGGAAACATAATTGTTACACCGTCACGTTGCAAAGTCCATGTCAGAATTCTGTTTCAAGATTAAAGCAAGAATCTAAGCAATCACCTGACAGCTGCCAATTCTTGTCCATATATCAATATGTAAACGAAAAGCCAGATCATGGATGACCTGATAAATTCCAAGAGATATGATCAGACGCAGATAAATCTTTACGGTGTCACGTGCCACATGACAATTATTCACATAATAACACCGCAAAGCGTCCTACCTATATAGACGACTTCCATCTTGGAACGTCGAGACGCAGCAGCGGAACGTCGACGTAATATCCAAGGATACCCGATGAAATAATTCACATTGGTTCCGATTACAGACGACCGGCATACGATTTTATTAAGAGACACAGAAACTCTGCCACTGTCAGCATAGATATAGCTTTAAAATAATAGCTCGTCACCCGAAAGAAACTTAGGTTAGAATCACGCTCTCTAACATATTCACAATGGCACCTCACAACCGCTCCCAGGACACACTTGTTGATTTGCACTGTCAAGAATTTTCACTGACGCTCGTTACCGGTTGCTACACGTTATCCGTTTCACTAGCTGCACTCTGCCTATTATTTTTTTGACTCTGTACTATCCAACGAACGTTAAAACTTCCCTCTCACAGATCACCCAAGGTCACACGACATCCCGATACGCCACTGAAGAACTTACGACGTCACAAGCTAAAAGAATGATCGTTTTGAAAACACAAGAATAAAAGACGATGTAACCACGAGCAAGAACAACGCGTATCGAACGACTGGCGAGTCTCGAACGCCGGCTAACCGAGCATCGAACGAACTGGCAACGGCGTACGCGTAAGGCCCAGAGTCCCCCACTCCTATTCTTCATGTTGCCCGGCGCTCCGTCAGTCGTTCCCCCCCACTCTCGTTATACGTTATTCTCACTCTGTCACTATTGGCCACTATTCTCATCTCTCTGATGTGAGTTAGTGGCTGAGTTCATCTCATGTTCGGTCTATGCCGCGGTGAGGGCCCTAAGTCAGGATACATTCTTATATGGGCCCAATACAGGTACCCACGCAATATATGGCGTGCTATGGGAACTACAAATGTCTACGAATTAATGTATAATCAAGGTATCCATCGCTTAATCGGACATACGTAATCGGGTATGTCTGTCCTATGGCGGTTGGTATCTGCTTCGAGGTCATTGTGTTTTTTCGTGACTACCAGAGCGCAAGTATTATACAGTTTGCGACGAATAAAGATCACAGAAGGATAACTGCTTTATGGATCGTGGGACCTACTTAGTTAACGGTTGATCGAGGAGAGATTGAAATTTCCTGACTTGCGATAATTTAAAAAGAAGCACTATAGACCTAGGTATGGATCGGGCTGAATTATACATGGCAATGTCTCCAGAGAACGTTTGAGACAAAGTGAAATTGAAATATTTAACAAAGGTATGTATGTACATAGATACCGCTGGTTGATATTCTATTATCAGGAGCGAATGTTATTATTACTTAATTACGAATTCGATTAATTTTTATATCTACGCAAGAGTTGCTGCATTAGTTCCAGAACGTGGGGTTACACTTTTATGGCTTTACAACAATAACACCAATATGTGTTTGTTCTCAAGCCTAGAGCTGTCTCGTCCGTCTGCACTATTGGGCCTTGAAGAGTTGAGGATACGTGTCTGGTGAAATGGGCACGTAAGGCCCCACTCTAGAAAAGTGAGAGGTGGGGCAAGAGGACCGTAAGGCCCATGAAGTAACAGGTAACCAGGAGAACAGAAATCGAAGCTGGTATCCTTTCTACCTCAACAGGAATGTAGACTCCTGGGCCTTTTCGAGATAGCGGGTGTCCCAAAAATTGATGGTTTGCACTTTTAACGACTTTCTTTCAAATAGAACAACGTGCAAAAATATTCAACTCGGATAAAAATTAATTATTTAAAATGAATCACGTTGATAGGTAAACCCGTATTTTCCCAAAAATACACAAACATACATTTTACCATAGAAAACTAACCAACTATTCTAATTATAGGTATGTGCGAATATCAACAAAGTTCTGTACGCCAAAAACAAAGCTGTAAATTTTGAAATATCGTGGTAAACATTTGTAATTGTTGCGCCCAGGGCACGTCTAATCCGTGACTTATGACCCTACGTTAAACCTCAATATACTACACGTTAAGCAGCTTTCCATGGAAATCCTGTCAGATGTATTTCGTAAAAGTTTCCTCATTACATACTCTACACGTACCACACACTCTACGTACAGTGATCTATGTTTCATCCAGCATATACATACATTCACTGTTCAATCTCCGTGGAGTAAAAGGAAACTTGGGAGTTTCATAAGCAAGAATAAAATAAAGGAATCTCCCAATAGATTTCCGCTACCAAATGGCTAACTCCTTTGTGGAAAATAATTTTTCAATGAAAATCATCATACATCTTTAAGATAGAAATCGAGTTATAATCTATAAAGCTACTCAGTATCCATCTATAATCCCACAGTGTCTCGCTATTTTCTAAGTGCAATTGAAATCTGAAAACTCATGAATATCCAATATCCCATCTATATTATTACCGACTGCAGTAAGATCGTCTATGGACAAGCTGCAAAAAGGTTATGCCCGACGGATATTAAAACCAGTTATCGGCGACAGGTTTTTACAAAATCTGCAGTTAAACTGCAAATGACGTTTCATCACGGTGAATCAAAAGTCAAAGATGCATCGACGTCATTACCTTCTTACGTATACATATATAAAACCTCAATCCTCTATACAGGTATACCCAGACATTTTTCAATAACATCAATCTATATTTTCCAACTCATTAACGTTGTTACATCATTAAGCAGCGTGCTCGTTGTAAGGGGGATAAATTTTACGTATAATCGGAAAATATTGCACGGCACAGATGACAAGATTACAAACGCCCGGCTTTAATGAGAGTTGATGCACTTTATATTGGTATTAATATATTCCCACAATGCACTCTTGTTAAGAATACAGTCAGTGTCAACAACCGAGTAATATCATCAACGCGTAGTTCTACGTACACGTGTATCGATCTAAACGATCTAGTGACGTCGATCTTACAAGATTCGAACAAGTAACGCCCATTAAGCAATCAACAATTGACGTAATAATTGATACAACTATATGAATTATCTAATTAAAAATACGTAGCCTTACGTCTCCAACTCGCTGTAACAATACTCAGGGCCTGTTCAAAGTTTAATCTGACACCAAACATATTATAAAAAAAAAAAAAAAAAAAAAAAAAAAAAA